CACTTCTACATGCTGCAAAAGCCAAGTTATAGACCTGCTTCTACCAGGGAGAATGACATTTCATCTAGAGATAAAACTAAAGCTAAATGAGAATCAGATACATGAACACCAACACAGGTTGGTTAGGGTTAACCCTCAACATATTTCATCCCAACCAGTCCCTTTTAGCCTCCAGACAATGTGTCAAGACTTCCATGGCAACTCCAGCCTGGCTCAAGCTGGAGGTATACAACTGAGTATCATCAACAACTGATAATACCTTACCCTAAACCTTTTGATGACCTCTAGCAGTTTCATGTACATTTTAAAGAGTAGAAGGGAGAAGATCAAGTAACCTACAAGGGAGCACCCATTAGTTTGACTTCTCTTCCCCATCAAAACCAACTGGAAGTATAGAACACTATTTCCAACTCCCAACCCAGAAGAATACCATGGTTGATTAAATGCTGAGAGCTCATGAAGGACTAGGAAGGGTGTACTCCCCACTGAAGTCCCAATAAAGGTCATCCATCAGAGGGACCAATGTTATTTTCATCTCAGATCTAAGCTTGAATCCCAATTGAAAGCAGTTGCAATAATCTACTTCCTCTAAGGCAATTTATAAATGAAGTCCCACCACATTTTCAACAACTTCCCCTCCTTCCAGTAAAACACACACACACACACACACACACCAGGATGAGTTTTTAAAGAAAATATATTTAAGTACAAATCACTCTATAAAATACAACCCTTTAGAAGAAAGAAGAAAGAAAAATAGTTGTCCCCTCTTACTATATCAGCTAAGTATGGAATCATTGAGACAGCCAACTTGATGCCCATCAGATTACAATTCCCTGATCCACCATGCTAAAGTTCCCACAAGATTCATTGGATTCAAATCCCAAATCATCCTCCTATCATTTTTGAAACTTCCAAGAGAAGTTGAAGAGATACTGAAGAGATTTAACTGGGACTGCTGCTCTGTATTATAAACCTTCGCTCTTAGGAAAGTTTCCTCATCCATACAGTGCAAAGTGTGCATGCAAATGTTGCCCAGCTACCTTCCAAAAAGAGCTGGAAGAAATCTATTTGAAACTTGAGAACTGCTTCATAACTGTAGACAATACTGAGCCAGACTGAGCAACTTATCTGATGCTGTATAGAGCAGCTTCCTCTCTGTACCCCTTTTTTCATCAAACAATGAATCTGATTTTTTTCATTCAGCACATTGGATTCTTCAATCTGAAGTCTGCATTCCACCTTTCCCAAACAGGAGCAATGAATGATTGGCTTTGGCATGCTTCAATGTAACCTGTGATTCACTCTCTTGGTGATACAATATGAACATGAACAAAGGGCTACCTTATTGGCCCACCTTCATTTGGAGTGGGAGTAATTGCTCCTCACTGCTGTGGTAGTGTGGTATTATTCCTTGACCTGATTTTACACCATACTGGGCATCTGAATTGAAGGTCAACATCCAGCGACTGCTTTACATCTTTCAGGTTCTCAAGGATAGTCTATTCAATCCTCCTCCTCCAACTCTTAAGTCTGAAGTCAAGCTGCCACCTTGTGGTGATAGCGTATCTTTTTTCTCTTTTCCCTTAAAACTGAAAAGTGGGAACTGCATTTTCTAAAGAAATCAAGCAGGAAGTGCTCCCTAAGGTGATTTTAATTCTTCATTGAAGGTGTTGCTATAATCTCTGGATGAAGAGATAAAAGATCTGAGATCAGACATGCTAAATGCTGCACTTGAAGAAAGCCCAGAAGAAATGAATTGCAGAAATAAATACTATTGATCAGAAAATAGCTTGAGGCCCTGATTCTGACCTCTCTGACAGTTTGCAAAAGTCCTGTCAGAATCTGAGCTAAATGTTATCTGAATATTCGGCTCAAGTGAAACCAAATGCTTAATTCTTTAAACAAAAGTAGTTCTTGGCATCATCAACTTCTTTTATCATACATTCCTCTAGTTAACAAAGGGTATCCTCAGTTTTGACATTTCCCAACTCTAAAATAGAAAACTTTCAAGAATGTTTTTTACATGGCTAATTTCATGAGAATGTCTCAGCTTGGGCCCTCCAGCTCTGCTAGGTCCAGGGCTCATCACCTGCAGGGCTGTGTTGTCTATGGAGAATGGGAACTGTAGTCCAATACATCTTTGTTACTAATCTATAGGTTGCATTTGGCTCACTTTCCCAAACTCTCCTTTCTTCCCGTGTGGATGATGTCCTGCTGTCTGGCTTTACTGTTAAACGGTAATTATACTGTTAAACAGTAATTACTGTTTACGGTAATTATAGGACATTTTATAGATTTTGTATGGAATTTTTCTCTGGATTCTGCTCTACCCCGATATCAATTTTTATTTGATCTTTAATTTCAGCAGCTAGCTGAACAGCCACCTTCGGAATTGCTTTTCGTTCCCTTGCTAAGGCTTATTTAAAAAAAACAAAAGAAGAAAGAAGCGGGCAGATAAATTAGAACGATTTGTTTTCAAAACTTTACGGAAATAGGAAAGCGAAAGATTTGGCGCGCCGGTGCTTGCCAGCACGTTCTTCTCCTTGCCTGGAAGACGAACCAAAACCCCAAACCTTCCCTCGCCCTCTCAACCGAACGTATTCCTTTAAGAGGAAGAGACAGCCGGAAGTCGCGCTGGGGAGGCGCAAGCCTCGCACTGCTCGAAAGTCCGAATGGGGCTGCCCCGGACCGGTCCCGCCCCGTCCCTTCACCCGCAAAGCACGTGGGGCTTCCAGGGCGCCTGGTGGCCGGTTCAGGCGGACCGTCGCTGCTCTTGAGGCAAAGGGTAGATTTCAGGTGAGCCTTTACTCAACCACCTCTGAAGTAGTTATTGAGATGCCAGTGGAGAAGCGAGGGGTGGGTCTGCGCAAGTGGGCTGGCCGTGTCCTGTGGTGGTTTTGCTCCTTTCTGCAAGCCCCCTTTGAAATGTGTGAATGTCGTTCCTTACCTGCGAAATGGACACTGAAACATTTTAAATATATGGGGTGGGGGCAGGAGGCGGGGGGATATTTATTTGTTTAGCAAACTTATATCGCCGCCCATCTTGCGAAACGTGATTCGGCGGCATGCAACAAAACAGACAACTAAAAGCAAATATAAACAACTATTGAAATTAAACATAAATAAAAACCAAGGCTCTAGGAGAATGGACGACATCCTAAGCACAATACAACCATCTTGCAAGCTCCCGGTCCCCCCAAGGTTGTTGGAAAAACATGTTATATATATATGATGCAGCAACTTGCTTATATAAACAAAACTTTTCTTTGTGATGTCTTAACTTTATACAGAACATTCAAACTGAAAGCTGAACCTACTTTTAAGACTGAAATGTCCCTTGGTCTACACAGCAGAGAAGACTGGGTCTATTGGTTTAATTGAAGTTGTGTAAAAATACCTTATCATAGTCACAGTTATTGGTGGGGCAGGAGTTGTTGTGAATTACTTTCCTGCTGGCCCTCATAAGGAGGTAAAAAGTTTTCTTAACATCACTAATGAAATGGCTGTGTTGAAGCAATAGTTTCCAAGATCCATTGCATTCTATGATCATTAGAATAAAATACTAAGTATCTGAATTCACATATGACACAAAGCTATGATTTGTTTTAACCGTGGCTCATTGAAAAAGCCAAGATTATGCTAAGATGACCAAACTGACCACATTGTGGCTTGGAGTGATGTGTGAACCCAATCTTTTTTTTACTTAAACCCAGCCATTGTGGATTCCAGATTGTGATAAATGAATATATCATAGTTCTCAAACTTTCACTAATGGTAACTTGTTTTGGACAGTTAATGCAAGAATTGCAGATAGGTTTGGCATTTCCTTTGTTTGCAGATGTTCTCTAAAAAGTCACAGACTGAGACAGATGCTAACAGATGTGAAGGGAGTAGACCTTTTCAAATCATCTAATGCTGTTTATGTAAATGAACATATGGATGGACTTTTCTGGATGCAAGATAGGGCCCTGTCCTGAGTGTCAGTCTTCCTCTCAGAAGGGAAAACCTTGGATCAGGGATTCTCAACTTTGGCCCAACTCCAACCCTCTCCCCACAAATGACCACCACAACTATGGATGATTTCGTTGGTGTTTGCTTTGGGCAGGATTAAATATAGCACTTTCAATCAGTACAT